GTTAAGAAAGCAAAGAACAAGAGACTCTGTAGGCCCCGGGCCCTGGAGGAAAAGCCACTGCTACTATTCTGATAAATAACACAGCAGGGGAAGGACTCAGAGCTGGGCGGTGGTAGAACACACCTTTAGTCCCAGCACTCAGGAAGCAGAGGCAGGCGGATCTCTGTGAGTTCGAGGACAAGCTGGTCTACATGAGCTAGTTCCAGGACAGACTCCAAAGCTACAGAGAAACCCTGTCTCAAGAAAACAAAACAAAAATAAATAAATAAATAAATAAATAAATAAATAAATAAATAAATAAAAGAGAAAAACAAAACAACTCTTAATGGCATATTGCTAGCCTCACAAATCAGTGTCTCACTCAACTCTCATCAGAGAAGCTTCCTCTCGCAGTAGACAGTACCTAATAGCATGGTTAGATAACTGCAGGTGTAAGAAACTTTAGAATACTCTGCCCTAAATAGAATGTCTGTGTTACACCCCTCTGGTGGCAGATATTTTTTTCTGCTTTAGGCCAACAGAAACATTGAGAAGTATAGCCTCCCCATCATGACTCGCCACATCAAGTGTTCCATTCTTGGCATCATGAAATAGTGTGGTTTTAGTGAAGAATCAGGATCTGCAGGTTACAACTAAAGTACTTATCTTACAACAGGGTCCACACTTGTCAATAACTATGCAATAGCATGTAGTTATTAGTGTATCACATGGGTATTACTGTACTGATATCTACAGTGTCCTTAACCTTTCATCCACTTGCTGTCAAGCTCCCAAAAACCTAGATTTTTAAACTGTTTCCATACCTTTATATCTGTCATAATTTTATATGTGTATAAAAATATACCAAAACTGTATATATGACATAAATTTGTCATTATAAGAAGTTAAGGGTATATAAAATACATCCACTTAGATTTCCCCCCTTTGACTTAATAGTGTGCATTTTTAAGCATTCTTGATTTTTTTTTATTAGCCCTGTGAGAATTTTCTATTTTGATCCCATTAACCCCCCCCAATACCTCCCTGATCCACGTCCCCTTCCCCACCAACCCAACTTTGTACCTGTTTTATTTTCACCTATCACGGGCGGTTGTGCTGCCCATATGTACTTGTACTTGTGTGGCCTTCCACTACCATGTGGTCAGCCCACAAGAGGGTGCACACTTAGAGAAAAGTGTTTCCCAGAAATACCAATTACCAATAAATAGCTCTTTAGCTAGAGCAAGGACCCTCCCTCACTTCCCTTTCCAGTGCTGGAATTGTACCTGGGCGTCCTTGACAGATCTTAGGCATTCTTTCACAACTTCTGAGCGTTCGTATGTTCCTATGCTGAGAGCAACTGCCCTGCTGTGTTCATAAAACACTGTTGCATTACAATGGTCCACAGCCATGACTCTCACCCTGATGTCACCCATCTTCACAATGACCTCTGAGCTTTTGGAGGGGATTTAAGATGGGTGTCATTTAAAGCTGAGTACTGTTCTGTATCTTTTTCTCTGCACCTAACCAGCTGTGGGTTTCTGTTAATTGCCATCCACTGCACAAGAAGTTTCCCTGAAGAGGGATGAGAGATGCCCTAACCTATGGTATAATGATATTGTTATGAGTCACTAATATTTTCCGTTTAGCAGAGTAATAGTGGTAGGTTTTCCAGTGAAACTCATTTTCGGCTGTGAATGTGGCTCAGTAGGCAAACACCTGCCTACTATTCCCAGAGACCTCTTTTGATGGCCAGCATTTAATATAACTCACTTTTAATGTATACAGAAACATTATATTTCATGGATATGGTGTATTTTATCAATCCAATCACCTATTAAAGAGATTTTAGCTGACTTAAAGCTTGGGAGATTACAAATGAAGTTGATACAAGCATTCACAGGTTTTCATGTACACATTACATTTCAATTCGTTTAGATAAATATCAAGGAGTTTACTTTCTGGATCATATAGTATGGTTTATGTGATGAACTGGCTCTGTCTCAGCTGTTTCCATCAGCAACAAGCTGAGAAATTAATCCTCCACATTCTTACTAATATTTGGTGTATCGGTATCAAAGCCAGTGTGATGGCTACACAGAGGTACCTCAATTTTAGAGTTTGCAATTCCTACAGCTAGATGATGCTGAACATCTTTCTCTGTGCTTGTCTGCTACCTGAGTGTATCCTTTGATGAGGAATTTTCAGCTCCTCTGTCCAGTTTTTGTTGGCTGTTATCTTCCTGTTGAGTGAGTACCTTGCATTGTTTTGATGTCAGTCTTTCATCACTCATGTGTTTTACAATGTTTTCTCCAAGACAGTCACTAGACTGGCCATTTTCTTAATTTTCTTTCTTTCAACCTGTAAAATCATATCTTCTAAAGATGCTTTATACAAACATCATCCATCCACATACAGCATTAAGGATCTATCTCTCTATCCAAAGTGACTTTATGCTTCACTGTATCAGTAAACAAATAATGCATATATAGACTATAATTTTATATATTCCTATCACTGTATATAAAGCTTTTATTTCAAGTTATTCACCATACTGATTATTCCATCTTTTATTTCAAAATGCATTTCAGACAACGTCATATAGCTATTAAAACAGATTTATCTCTCTTTTTTTCTTGAAGTTCATTATGTGGGGGGGGGGATCATTGACTGAACATGGTTGACATATCAAAGCCACAGCCTTAATGAAAACTGGCTGACCCTCTTCCCGCAGCTATGAATTATCAATAGCTCCTCTGCTAGGGGTGGGACTTGTACAAGTTTTAACAACCGAGCTAGAAAATGCACCTACTGGTGCAATAGAGAAAAGAATTTCACGGGGGAAAGCAACAACTTTCTGATTTGAATTTCAAGATTTAAGTCACCTTCCTAGTTGGAGCTCACACCTGACACCAAGAACCTGTGGTCAGACAGGTCACAGGGCTCTACTGGAGAAGCTACTACTGTCAGTCTTCTATTGATAATCTACATCACCCCATTTCCTCCCAAGGCTCAGGGATCACCGTGGAAGGGAAGTAGAAAGAGGTGAGAGGTGGATGCAACAAGGCGGCTGCACTCAGGAACTCACAGCAGCTGTGCCAGCTTGTGCAAGCTGTACAAGCTCTGCTGGAGCTCAGGACAGAGAGAAGTCCAGCATGGAGAGGAGAGGTGGGCATGATGCCCATATGATATTTTTAATTTGGTTACTGTAGTGGTTTGAAAGAAAATGCCCCCCCCCCATATGCTCAGAAGCAGTGGCACGTTAGGAGGTGTGGCCTTCTTGGAGTAAATGTGTTACTGGGGGTAGGATTAAGGTCTCAGATGCTCTGCCATGCCCAGTGAGGCATTTCTTCCTGTTGTCTGTGGATCAAAATTTTGAACACAGCTCCTTCTCCAGAACCATGTATGTCTCCTGTGTGCCACCATGCTTCCTGCCATGATAATGAACTAAACCTATGAACTGTAAGTCAGTCCCAATTAAATGTTTCCTTCATAAGCATTGCCATGGTCATGGTGTCTCCAGAGCAATTGCTACACGAACTATTAAGACTATTTGTTTTCAACTTATAATGGGTGGTACTTTAATATGTAGGACCTTTTGACCTTTAATATTCTGTTTGGCTCTCAAAAGAGTTCCACAGTTGAAAAAAAAAAAGAAAGAAAGAAAAGAAAAAAAATAAAAACTCCATCAGTATTCTGAGAACTCACAAAAATTTTTAGCCAGACCTGCCTTGATCTCCAGAGCTACACACATAATGCACACAGACACACGAGCAATTTCTACTATATAGGCATACATGTTTGGTCTACATATCTGATATTAAATTAAAGGAACCCTCTTACCACTTCACTATGCTTCCCCATACATGGCTTTCCTCATCTCATTAATCCTCCATCTAGGGACAGATGTTGGTTTTGCCTTTGGAATGTTTCTAGCATCTAGGCAATTTCTCACCATTCCCCATTATAATCTTTTAAATTTCCACTAAATCTTTCCTGTTGGCACTTCGGTAGCCTCCAAAATAAGGCTGTCTGCTTGTATTCTCGCCCCACGCGCCTTTCACTGTGACCCCTTTACTCTGATTCACTCAAGAGTCAGAATCACAAATCTGACTTCTATTGCGGTTACTCTCAGACTCTTTAGCGTTCTATAGTTTCTAAATTTCCTTCAAAAAGAATGTACTGTGAAACAGTCATCTTTCCCCGCAAATGTCCCTCCTTCAAATACAGAATTAAAAGCTAAGGTCAAGGCATTGAATAAAAGAAAAAAAAAAAAAACTAAGCTTACTTAGAAAATTAGTTAAGTTCATAGGAAATAGCTTTGCAGAATTCTGAGCAAGACTTTAATGAAGGGAAACTTCTCAAGCCAAATAGCAGAGGATGATAGAATTTCTGGGTTTGATACTGAAAAGCCGTCCTTAAATGTTGTTACTACATGCTATGTGTCAGAACGGGGAGATTAGCCTGTAGAACTCGTTATAAACTAGGCATTCGACAAGAGAAATACATGTTATCGTCCAAGGAAAGCGTGTTCAACAAGCCTGACTCCCCAATATCGGGCCCGATTGAGTGTCCTCCTCTATGCCTTCCATAGACTTAGAAGCGAGTGAAGACCAACTGAGCGCCTGATGCTGACAGAAGGCGCGGGTTCAAGTGGACGGCCTGAGAGAGAGGTGGGCGGACGCGGGGCGCGGGCGAGCCGAGGTTCTGCGACCCGGCCTCCCGGAATGGCAGCTCTGTGCGAGCAGGTCACCTCGGCATCTGGGGGATGGTTCCACTGTCCTCGGCGGCCCGGTGGCGGGCCGCCGGCTGTCAGACGTGGCGAGGCGGGAACCGACGGAGCAGGCCCCGGGCAGCCCGGCGCAGCTAGGTGCCCATCGGCACCACCAGCGTTGCCCGGGCAACGCCGATCGCGCACGCTCAGGCCATCCTAGCTCTCTCCAGTCTGTGGGAGGTTCCAGGGGCGCGGTGACGTCACCACGCGGCCAGGGCGGGGCGTGGTCTTCGGAGCGCGCGCGCGCGCACTGTGCCGGTTTCCGGAAGTCGGACCATGGCGTCTCTCCGCGAAGCCACCCTGCGGAAACTGCGGCTCTTTTCGGAGATGAGAGGTAGCCTGGCGGAACGGAGTTCTCTGGCCCAGTGCTCCGAGGGGCGCCTTCTTCCCACGGACCCCCTCGCCGCTTCCTGTCCTCTGCTCCTTCCTGTCCTCCGGTCCTGCCTGCCTTCCGCTTCTCCCTCTGCAGCTCTGTGCCTGCCTCATCCTGGATGTCAGGATGGAGCAGCCAGAGCATTATTAACATGGCTTGTGAGGCTGTGCATGGAACACACATGTAACATGTGAAAACATCGCTTAGCTCATTGGTTAGAAGTCAGTTTGCTTACAGAGTCTGAAGTAGTGTTTTTGCCTAGTTTTTTCACTTTTCCTCCAGTCCCCTGCATAGCTCACCAGCCTATTCCTATTTAAACTCCAATCTGAAGGCAATTATGATTTTAAAAATTCCAAGTTTAAGTTTGCCCTTTAGAGGAAAAACAGATGGGTGCTTGCGCTTCTCAGAACAGCTGTCTGATAAAATTGGTATTTGTGACTGTCTAAAATGTGGGGATTTATATTTGGATATCATGATGTTAGAATTATTAAATCCAAGCTAACGAATCCCTTCCTCTTTTCCTCCATTTCTCTGTCCCTTTCTTTCTCTCTGCCCCCTCCTTTCTTTTTTAACTTGCTAAATGAAAGGTCAGGTATCTTCCACAAGACAACTTAAGACCATGTTCTCAGCACCTAGATTTATTTGTCCCAGAGGGACAAACAGCAGGGAATAAGAGACAAAGATTGAAGGTAGAGGACAAGGGACCTCTTAGAAGAGAGAGGAGACAGGCATGGCCCATAGACCAATGACAGTTTCTAAAGGTCAAAGAGAAAACCCAGTGTTAGAACGAGTTGTTTAATTTTGATTTTGGTGTTAATTAGGGAAGCCAAAAGGGAGCTTATGATTGCTGGACTTCAACACTTTGACAGCTGTACCTTGGTAATCAGCCTCAGGGGGGAGGGAGTAGCCAAATGAGAGAACAGACACACACTGGTGACTAGCTTTCGTAAAGTAATCTAATGGTTTTTAGCAAGAAGAGAGAAGAAGGAAGGAAGAGGGCAAAGCCAGTGCCATGATGTCATGCTCAGGCCCCTTAGTTAAAACCTTATTAATATTTTTGTTGGTAAAGGAGAGGGTCCCACTGTATACCAATGCAGTTTGTCAATTAATGAGTCCATTGGGAAATTTGATCCTAAGTTCTGTGTGGTTTTCTGATGGCCTATGTAAGTGTAGTTGTTCATCGTAAATTAATAAAAATAATAAGAGCTGAGCCTGGAGCTGCAAGACTGCTATCTACTTGGGAGGCTGAGTCAGAAGGGTCAGAGTTCAAGGCCTGACTGGGTTATAGGAAACATGCAGGGCTAGGCTGTCAATTAGTAAGACACCCTCAAAAGTTAATAAAGAGGAGACTGGGAATGTAGCTCAGTGATGGGGTATTTCCCTGACATGCATGGAGCTCTGTGTTTTGTCCCCAGGAACTCAAAAAAAATAAAAAAAATAAATAAAAAGAAGAAAGAAAAAGTTAATAAACAGCAACAAAAAAACAAAAAAATCCACATTTCTAATCAGAAATAAGAAAGGAGTGTACAGTTAATATTTCTCAGCCAGGGAACATTAAGGACTCTGATTCATGAAACTTCCTAGATACTGAGGCTAAAGATTATTCTATTTTCTTTATTATTGGTTGGTTGGTTTTTGTATCATCTTATTTAGGAAGCTGGTAATGATTATTCATTTGTCCTCCCCTCTTTTGAAATAGACAAGCTTACAATAGAGAATTCTAATAATATAAAAAAAATCTTGCTATTTTTCCAATAGGCAAACCAGTGGCAGCTGGGAAATTCTGGGATGTAGTTGCCCTGACAGCAGCTGATGAAAAGCAGGAACTTGCTTACAAGCAACAACTGTCTGAGAAGCTGAAGAGGAAGGAATTGCCCCTTGGAGTTCAGTACCATGTTTTCACTGATCCTGCAGGAACCAAAATTGGTATATACTTTACGGTCATTGTTATAACAGATTCTGAGCAAGATGGTAATTGCATAGTTTTCTAAGCATTATAGTTTATAAACTGTTTATCTCCATACACAGCCTTTACAGACTTTAAAATCTGAGTCTAAACTATCTCGTCTTAACAAGGTGAATATCAGAGCAAAGATTCTTAGTCACTGAGACTTGAAGAGAAACTCGTACAGAAAATTAGTTAAAAGATTTTTTTTGCTTCAATATAATTACAATAGACCTCATTGGAAGTTCTCACAAGGACTTTTCCAATCCAGTAGTTTCTTCAGACATTTACATGAAGAAAACAAATGGGGAAATTTATGTATATATTTGGTTTCTTTGAACCAAAATATGGAATACAAACAGACCACGTCCAGTCACTTAAAGTAACATAGACTATGTACTTAAACCCCATTTAATTCAAACTATGTCATCATTGCAAATAAATAAATTATAGTTTACCTTTGATTCTGTACAGAGGGAATTTCAAATCATTTCTTCTACTTTCTTGTAGTTATTGCTTAAAGTGCTTTGAAATTTATTTGCTGTGTTTCCTTTGAAAGTAGTTTGATTTTTATAAAATTTATTTCTAAAATTTTGGTTCATATGATTTAAAAAAAAAAAAGCAAAAGCCTCTTGGTGCCAGGAGGAGAATGCATGTCTGTGACCCTGGGATTATTCTGATGGCCGCTGTTGGTGAGCACTTGTCTGATGTCCCTTCTGTAGAGAAGAGTTGGGGGGACAGTGCATTAGCATCATTTGAAATATTTTATACAAACCAAATTCTTTAACGTTTTTGAAAACCTTAAATTTTGAAAACCCAGCTTGCGTGTTGAGTTGTGTCATTTGGAAGAGGTCACTGAGCAAGTTTCCTGGTCAGCAGCTGCATATGAATTCATGGTCTAGGGTCATAGATTATGTAATGTATCAATTCTTCCATTACTGTTGTTGAGATTATTAGCTGCTATGTTCCTTGATTAGCTGTTTGTTTGGTTATTTGCTGTGACTTATCTATTCTACTGCCAGTGCCTTCTCAGTCTGTCTACCTCATATTGACAATTTTGAAGATACTCACATCTTCAAGATTATAACATTAAATATAGCATCATAGCAAAATTTTCATAGTTTTCTGTGAAGCAAATTATCCTTTTGAATTGTTTTTAAGGAAATGGAGGATCAACATTCTGTGCTCTTCAGTGTCTGGAAAGTCTCTACGGAGATAAGTGGAAGTCTCTCAAAGTCCTGCTGATTCACTCTGGTAACTGACTGCTTATTCATTTACATTTGCCCTTGAGTTTCCTGCCTCTGACACCTTGGTGCCTTTATCTCCCTTGTAAAGGATTTCCCCTGTATTTTATTTTGTTTGAAAATTCAGTGGCGGTATTTTGCTTTGGAAATAAATGTCCATGGCATTTGGGTTTCTTGTTTTCTGTTTTCAGTGTGTAAGTATATTGATCTTCACAAAACATTTTCTTAGCATTGTAGATTATGTTCATCATCTTTTATGGATATTTTATCATTTCATTTTTGGTTTGCAAATATAGAATTGTTTCACAAAACTCCTGAAAATATGGACATTTCTCAGGAGTCTTGGGGGGGGGGTTGTTATTAAAGAGTCTGCATAGAACATTTCAAAAGAGAAAAAACAGAAGAATGTTATCAGATTTGTTGGTAGGTTTTTTAATTCAATACATATATAAAACATTTGGTGCTTGGAAACTTCTGTTGTTTATCTCTGTATTCTGTTTTTTCTCTTTTGAAATGTTCTATGCATTTTTCATGTATATATTTATGTATTAATTCTGTATTTTGTCATTTTTCTTCTGTATTTAGAACTGCTAAATATTGTAGCATTTGACTATCAATAATCAGTCAAAAATGCAGGCAGAAGTTTCTACCAATAGCAGATAAATTAAATAAATTGTTCTTAGGTCAGTTTCCATTTACTTTCTATGTCTCATGAGTTGAAGGCAATCCGTCCTGAAGTGGATGTTTAACGAGAGAAGTACGTTCTGCAACTGTTAAACTGCACTAGTCTTTTACAGCTTTTTCTAGTACATCCCTGGCACATGACGTTAACCATGGTTGGAAAGTGTTGTTAGAAATGTTCACGGAAGACCAAGTTTTAAAAGCGGTCCTTTTGTTATTATGCAGTTGATTGAGAATACTTGCTAGCCGGGTTCTGTGTGTCCTGGCCTAGAGTCTCTAGAATTGCATTACATCAAATTGCCTTATGAAAAAAACTCTTTGATGGCTTTAAAGTCTAGATTTCCCAATTCTACCCTTAATTTTGATTAGATACTTAGTATTAGATATCTTCAGATGTATTTTATGCTATAACTGGTGCCACCAGATTTTGAAAATCTCTTACATATTTTTAAATCCTTTACAATTTTTATAGGTGGTTACAGTCAACGTCTTCCCAATGCAAGTGCTTTAGGAAAAATCTTCACAGCTTTGCCACTTGGTGAGCCCGTTTTTCAGATGTTAGAGCTGAAACTAGCCATGTACGTGGATTTTCCCGCACGCATGAAGCCTGGAGTTTTGGTCACCTGTGCCGATGATATTGAGCTGTACAGTATTGGGGACTCTGAGTCCATTGCGTTTGACAGGCCTGGCTTTACTGCCTTAGCCCATCCGTCTAGTCTGGCTGTTGGCACCACACATGGAGTATTTGTCTTGGACTCTGCCAGTTCCTCACAACATGGTGATCTCGAGTACAGACAGTGTCACCGTTTCCTCCATAAACCCAGCATTGAAGACATGTACCACTTTAACGCTGTGCATAGACAAGGAAGCCTTGGTCAACAGGACTTGGCTGGGGGCGACACTGCCTGTCTTCCATTGCACTCTGAGTATGTCTACACAGATAGCCTGTTTTACATGGATCATGAATCAGCCAAAAAGCTACTTGATTTTTATGAAAGTGTAGGCCCACTCAAGTGTGAAATAGATGCCTATGGTGACTTCCTGCAGGCACTAGGACCTGGAGCGACTGCAGAGTACACCAGGAACACGGCACATGTCACTAAAGAAGAATCCCAGTTGTTGGACATGAGGCAGAAAATATTCCACCTCCTCAAGGGAACACCACTGAATGTTGTTGTTCTTAATAACTCCAAATTTTATCACATTGGAACAACGGAAGAATATCTGCTTCATTTCACTTCTGATAGTACATTAAGGTCAGAGCTGGGCTTGCAATCCGTAGCTTTCAGTGTCTTTTCAAATGTCCCTGAATGCTCCCATGAGACACCCTGTGTCATTCACAGTGTACTGGACTCAGGATGCCATGTGGCCTCTGGGTCAGTTGTAGAGTATTCCAGGCTGGGACCTGAGGTTTCCATCGGGGAAAACTGCATTATTAGCGGCTCCGTCTTAGCAAACACTGTCCTGCCGCCATATTCTTTCCTTTGTTCTTTAAGTGTGGAGATGAGTGGACACGTAGAGTATTCAACCATGGTGTTTGGCATGCAAGACAACTTGAAAAAAAGTGTTAAAACCATATCAGATATAAAGACTCTTCAGTTCTTCGGAGTCTGCTTTATGTCCTGCTTAGATATTTGGAACCTTGAAGCTACAGAGGAACTCTTTTCTGGAAGTCAGACACACCTGAGCCTGTGGACTGCTCGGATCTTCCCTGTCTGCTCCTCTCTGAGTGAATCGGTTGCCGCATCCATCGGGATGTTACAAGCTGTACAGAGCCGCTCACCATTCAACCTGCGCAGCTTCAAGCTGCTGTCCATCCAGGAAATGCTGCTCTGCAAAGATGTACGGGACATGCTGGCTTACAGGGAGAAAATCTTTCTAGAAATTGGTGCAAATAAAAGACAGTCTGATTCGGGGAAATCTTAAATACGATGTATTTTTTCCTGTGAACAGGATTGCAAATGCAGGCATTTTCTATAGACCTCTGACCCTTCCTTCCTTCCTTCCTTCCTTCCTTCCTTCCTTCCTTCCTTCCTTCCTTCCTTCCTTCCTTCCTTCCTTCCTTCTTCCTTACCTGATTTTGCCATGTTTCAGTAAAGCAACATAATTTATATTACTATAACTGCTGAAGCATTATTGACAAAGGTATTGATAGCCACTTCTGTTTGAAAAACATTTCAGAATTCAGGAAAGTGATGCTGTTTTATATATTTAAATAAATTTTATGTTTTACACTATTATAGCTTTATTTTTGGTAAAGATCAGTTTGTGGGATACTGTTTCACTCACATTATAAAGACTCCTGTTTTAGAGGATGATTTCCTAAACAGTTTTAGACGTTTTCTGTCTTTGGAAATGTGGACCAATGAAGCTCTAGGTGACATTGATGACTGTTATTTGTCACAATGAGACTGTACCTAACAAAAACACCCTGTTAAAGTTTTAAAGACTATTGTCCTTTTTTGTTATTTCTCCTTTTGAGTTTTTATTTTGTTTTTCTGTTATGTGCACTAGTCTGTTACCTGCATGTATGCGTGTGCACCACCAGAAGGGCTGTTCTCAAACTGTTCCATTGCATTGAAAAATATATGCAGACAGAACTCACTTGTTTGCTCAGAGGTTGTGAGAGTAGTTGAGAGAGAGCCTTGCTCACTTCGCCATGGACATTACTTAATTAATCCATTCCTAACCCTTCCAAAGTTCTCTTGGCTTGACAATGGATATTGTGTTTTACATAATTTTCTGTGCACACTGATAATGATGCTGAGAAGAAACAGTTGGCTCAGAGAGGAGGAAATTAGAATAGGGAATCTGAGATTAATACCTAGATCATAAGGAATTTCAGGAAAATGAAACTTTGGTGGAATTCCAGGTTATGTGCACCTGTTTTAAAATAAACACATTTGTGAAATATCTTTAGGTTGAGGTTGAATAGGAGTAAGAATTGTCATACTTGTGTTTAAATTACCTTAAGAAAACTAATAACTGCTGTGAAAATTTTATTTATATATGAATTTTCATAAATAGATGATAAACTAGATCTGTTAAAACCCTCTACTATATTTAAATGAATTTGTATTTCTTTTTTGAGGTTTCAGGGGCAAAATATGTGTGATATTGTTTGATAATTATTGATTTGCTTACAGAGATTTCAATAGTTGTTGAATGCTATTAAATGGTCATACTAATTTTACTGAAAGTTCTATCAATGATAATTCATAATTCATGTTCTAAGAAAAATATCATAAATAAAGAAGACTATTGATTCTTTCATTACTTGAAATTTTTGTACTTATTATGGATCTCTTGTAGGTACATTTGGACATAGAATTTTATCATTTCTCTGTGCATATATAAAGAAAGAAACAACATAATATAGCAATATAATCAATACATTTCTGCATTTTAGAGTCAAGGCCAACGTCTGCTAAAGCACTAAGAAATCAATTCATATTTATTGATAAACACCTGTCCCCAAGCACCAGCCACTGTGACTTCAAAGGTATTGGTCAGGCTGCAGTTTAGATTTTCCTCTATTCTTGAGAATGTTATACATGTACACAACAAACTAGATCATAACTATCCTTCATCCCTCAACCTGTGTCCCTCCCAAATTCATGTGTCCTTTGTTTAACCTACTAAGTCCAGTGAGGGCTCCCCATGTGTACATGAACGTGGGGCCATCCACTGGGACATTGTACATCGATCAGTAGTCACGTCCTCCCAAAAGAACAATTCTCCCTCCTCTAGAAGATAGCAACTTCAAATTGCTCTCTGAAAAGGTATGGTTCCTGGAGACTATCTACCTCCTCTGCTGATTTTTGTCTGGCTTGATCTTGTGCAGGAAATCCCAAACGCTGTGAACTCATGACAGTAACAGCCATTTCAGGACCAGAAGATGGCATTTCTTCCCCATCCCTCTGCTCTTGCCGCCTCTTACGCGATGCTGCCTGAACCTTGGTGGGAAGGGATTGAATTAAATATGCCATTTAAGCTTCGACTTGAGCACTCATTCTTTTATTCTCAGAACCTTGACCAGTTAAGGCTTCTCCTTCCTGCTGATCAACATGACAGCAAAACTAGGAAACATAGTGTTGTTCCTCACCTTGGTCTAAGTACATGAAAATTTCTGATTTCATGCTTCTATGTAATAAAGACGAGTTACTACAGTTTGGATGAAAAACACCAGATCTGCTTCTGGCAAAGTTATCTTTGATCTACGTGATCAAAAATAGATCAAACTTAGCACATGGCTCAGAGTTGCCAGGTTGGCTGTAGTTTGGCTGACTACCATTTTGTGCCAGAGCAGAATTTAGCATAAAGGAATACTAAAATCTTCAGATTCCTCACTGCATTGATATTTGAAAACTTAGAGCCAAGAGAGAAAACTTAAGAGAAATAACTAGCACCAGCACCATCTCCTTGGACAGCAGCATTGCCACCGTGCCGGAAGATGTCCGTCCGAAGGCAGCCTGCATATGCAGTGTCTAACAGTGTTTCCTCCTGGGCTGTTTGGGTCCGGGGATTATGATCTTGAAGACTCTGGGTGCAAGGGTGTCTATGTCATCCGGCATGAATTTGACCATTCAAACCACTTTTCCAACTGCAGTCGTCTGCTGTCCCTCTGCTAATGTCTACTTGGCCATCTGTGCTGTGATTATCCTTCAGCTGTGCGCTAGTGCAGTTCTGACGCAATCTAAGTTTATGCCTTTAAAAAGAATGGTATCCCACTAAGTCCAGTTTGTGCTGCCCACGTGTGCATGGTGTGGGATCATCCACTGGAACACAAACCAGCGTCCCTGCTCTTCAGGCGTTTTCACACACTGTGTTTCTGATCTACTTATTAACTCTCCGGACTCCTTCAAAGCTTTCAAGTTCTTGACGGCAACAAACAGCTTGTGAATGAGTCAGTGTACATAACTCTTTTAATTCAATAGCATCCACTCTTTGGTAGAGTGTTTGGGTGGTTTTGGTTTGTTTTAGTTTACCATTCCCTTGCCCAGCAAAGAATTAAAGCGTTTAAATCTTGAGTCAAAATTTCTGAAAACAGCTCTGTGGAAATCAACTTTCATGTCATTTGCTGTACAGCTCAATGAAGTTTTACATGATTGGTTTTCTTCTTATTGCTTGTCGCCTTGGGGTTTGCGAAAGTAAATTCAGCCACAAATACACTGTTTTCAGAAGGGTTTCAAAGTACTTGTACTAAAACCTAAATCCCGAGAAAATATAAAAATATGTTTATGTTTTATAGTGGTCTAAATGCAAAAATACCAATATGCTGCCTTACTGACAAAGTCATAACTTCTAATTTTTCTAATTACACATTCCTAAAATCAATTTCATTAAATTTTAAGAAGAAATCTATATAATTGGTTATCATCGGTTGAACTTCTAAATACCTAAAATCTAGTCCAAAGAAGAGCTGTTAGCAAAAGCTTTCCTGTGGATAAGGAGGAAGAAAAGCAGAACTTTAGTAACATTTTTCTCTCTTGTCACAGCTGGTGCCCAAATGCACTAAGATTTATGCCATGGGTTCAACAAAAGAAATATTTCAAGTGGCTCCTTCTTTGGATAACCAGATCCTGAATAATGACATGGAGACTTCTTCTTAAGTATGAAAACTTTACCTCTGTCTTCTTCCCAACTAGCTCTTAACATTTAAATTAACTGGTTTATATTAATTCATGTTCTGCCACATGGCTCCTTACCTCTCCTCGATACCATACATCTGACTTCCTCCTGTTCCGGTTACTCCCAACTCTTAGACTCTTCCCCTGGCTTCCCCTCTCTCCCACAGACTCCATCCTACCCTTTCCTGCCCAGCTATTAGCCATTCATCTCTTCATTAAACCAATCAGAAGGTACCTTAGGCAATCAAGAAAAGACAGAGACACATCTTCACATAGTGTGGTCAAATATCCCACAACATCCCCCCCCCCTTTCTCTAAATAAAATGAAAAGGTTTTAATTCTAACACAGTAAAACTATATACAAGTAAGAATAATTATCAAGAAAGTAAAACTTTAACAATATCTAGACCATTTGAATTTGGCAATTTCCGAGAAAGTACTATCAATCCTATTTTGGTGAGTATAAAATATTGTACCTAAATCACTTTCTATCATAACTTTTAGAACTAACCTTGAAATATCTTTTTAGATATTTTTTAATTGTTTTTATTGAGGTATATATTTTTCTCCACTCCCCTCCCTTCTTCTCCGCCCCCGCCCCTTACCCTCTCCCATGATCTCTGTGCTCCCAATTTTCAGGAGATCTTTTCTTTTTCTACTTCCTTTGCCGATTAGATCCATGTATGTCTCTCTTAAGGTCCTTTTTTTGTTATCTAGGTTCTCTGGATTGTGAGTTGCAGGCTGGTTTATCTTTGTTTTATGTCTAAAAGACACTTATAAGTAAGTACATATGATATTTGTCTTTCTGGTACTGGGTTACCTCACTCAATAAAATGTTTTCTAGGCCCACAAATTTCACGATTTCATTATTTTTTTTCACTGTGTAGGACTCCATGTGTAAATGTACACATTTTCCGTATCTATTCTGCAGTCAAAGGGCATTTAGGTTGTTTCCAAGTTCTGGCTATGACAAACAATGCTGCTATGAACACAGTTGATTGCATGTCTTTGTGGTATGATTAAGCATTTTTTGGGTATATAATCAAAAGTATGGCTGGGTCTGGCATTTTCTTAGAAAACTTAAACTTTTATGACTCTTTACCTTTCTAAACTTCACATCTCTTTTGTAAAATTATTACAAATGAATTTAGAAGATTGTTATTGAGTTGTATTGGACACTGAAAAGAAAAGGACTTCAACTTTGCTGATTCCATCTGCCTTTAATTTTCACTTTTCTCTGTCCAAGACTGCCTTTAAAGAAATACAATCATACCAATCTTTAATATTCTGTTTATTCCCTGTGCACTTGTGCCTGATAATCATGTAAAATGTCTTTCCTGTGCACATTGTCTTTTCTATTTATAGACTGGAATTGTAGGCTAGCCAGAATACTGTTAGATACAAGAAACTGTTGTCGGAAGACTGCTGGTTCATTCCCGGCTCCCCAGACCCTAAATAATCACACAGAAACCATATTGTTTGCAATTCTATTTGACCAGTAGCTTAAGCTTGCTATTTCTAGCTTGCTCTTAGGTCCTAAACTAACCCATCTCCATTAATCTGTGCATCACCATGAGGTCATGGTCTACTGGCAAAGTTTCAGCGCATCTGTCTCTGGTGGCAGCTACATGGCTTCTTCCTGACTCTGCCTTTTTTCTCCCAGTGTTCAGTTTAATTTCCCCACCTAGCTCTCTTCTGCTAAGTGACTGGCCAAAACAGATTTATTCATTAACCAATAAAAGCAACACATAGACAGAAGGACTCCCCATACCAAGAAATATTGCCTTAGACTACCCTAAATTACGTGGACGTCAAGATCTCCCAAATGTCTGTGAAATTCTTGCAGCACGTATCTTCACGAAGAGCATGACTACAAACACACTTTTCTTTCTAATGCACTGTGTCTTAAGGGACTTGGCAAATGGTTCTATCAGTTTTGTAACTCTCCTGTCTATTGTTGAGTATGTGTGAGTCTGAAACTTTCTTTTTCATATTTCCCATTTTCTTAAGAAAATAAACCATCTTTAAACAGAATATCTTAGGGAAACAAGAATATCTTAGGGAAAGTATTGGTAAATTGTCCTCTGGTCAATTTTTCTTGTATTATAGCTATTTCAGGAGTCAGGCATGGTGGTACGCACCCTTAATTGCATTACTTGGGAGGCAGATCTCTTGTACTTCTTGGCCATCCTGGTTTACATAGTAAATTCCAGGCCAGACAGGGATATATAGGGACACTCAACAGGAAAAAAATGTTGTCCTAGAATTTAACAAACTTTGCTCTTAGACATCATTATTGAAATACTATGGAATTTTCCTTGAAAATCTAGGACAATATAAAATTTTTTCTTCACTCTGCTTGTAAAGAATTAGTGGGAATAGATGGAATCCTTTGGAATAAATGAAAAACAATTGTGATGCATGTTCACACTTTACAAAATTACATTTTAATATTGACTTATACATTGATTCCTATAAACTGCAATGTGGAAAACAGCAGCACATAGATATGAGAGCAAATATCTTAAAGTTATTGTGGATATACAAATCCAAACACAGGGAACTGTTACTGCCTTTCTGTGATACCAGGTAAAGATCATAATGGGGAATCTACCCAAAGAAACTTAAAGGGAATG